AAAATTCACTATTATTTTTGATAGCCCAACAATTTCGAAGAAAGTCTTCGGCGAACCAAATGATTTGTTGTTTTCAGTCGATTCGGAGAATGCGTGTCTTCTAGCGATGTGTGACGCGGATTCTGGATGCGTGCCAAAAGGATGCTCGATCGATCAAAATAATCGCATTGGATGTGGATATTTTCGACTCAATATTTACCAGTTCCGGGTAAGTTGCACCGCACTCTACCACATGAACAAGTAAGCGCCACCTTTTCTTTTGCAAAATCCAGCTACGCGTACAAATCTATGCAATACCTCATCTACCTAGAGTGAGGTCTTACTTGAAGCCTCTCTAAAAGAGTTGGCCTAGGTGCTTCATGCCTCATCTCCATGATAACCATCTACCGTTAACCGTGCCACGAAGGAGCAAGGTTGCCTAAAGTAATGCATGTCCTTAGTGACAGATCAACTGTTCGTCTGGCCGAGTCAGACAAGGAAGGTCGTATTTTACGATCATAGCGAAAGGAGCCCATTGTTTTTAAAATGGGGCAGGGATTTTCTGAGAAGCATAAAGAGTTTTTGAGAATTCTACACAGCTCCTGAAATTAAAAGCAACGTTCTTATAGGACGTTTCAACAGGTACACCCCATTCGCGGTGTGGCGCACATTTCGGATTTACTCCGTGGTAGCTCAGAGATGTATTAACAATAAGGGGTCTCATCCAGTAAGGGGGGCATAGCGATCTAGAGCATTTCAAACCATGGAAAGCACATTATTTTATTGTAGACGTTCAGGACTAAGCCTTAGAAGGGAAGGAGCCCCCGGGTCCGTGAGCAATCTTGGTTTTCCCGGGGGACTTCCTCCCCCCTCCTAGGCTTAGTCCTGACCTGCTAACTAGGTGAATATTACTTTTCGTAGACGTTAATGTCATCTAGTACAAGAATACATACATTACACAAAACACCTGAAGAAATAACATAGGAAAAAAGCTGATAGCAGCTCGTAACTTTAAAGGACTCCTTGAGCCAAATTGGCATTAGAGCAGACCGTGCACCGCAATGCCCCCTCTTACCGGATGAGACCCACAATAAGTTCAAGGGGTGCAACTCCTCTAATATTGTTTACTTCACCTACCTACTTTCCTAGACCTTTCATCAAATCCATCAAAAACCACGTCTAAATGGCAACCCCTTTCAACCATCTCCTTCCCTACTATGATAACCTTGCTGAATCCAAAATACGACTCTCCCCTTTTCAAAATCACAAATGCAACCCCTCGTTCGGATAGTGCGAACGGACGGTCCCTGGTCAGAGGGGCAGGAGTCATAAGTCTGATATCGGCCGGCCAGAAACCGCGGTCAACCCTGTCCTATCAGGTGCACTGACGAGGTTCCGATTGTCACTTTCGCAGCGCTCAAAAAAGAAAGGTATTTCTGGATAACACTTCAAATTGTAGGTTCAAGATTACGAAAAAATTGATGAATGAAAAATTGATTGAATCAGCAGCATCGTTTTCGGCCATGAGGCAGATCTCCTTATTTTCGGATTCAGAAACAGCTATCACATTTTGCGCTTATCTCATCAATAATCAGCTGACCATGTAACATACTGTAGAAACAGTAATAGTATTGATGCCATATTGCTGCATTACAATAGAACATTTAAAAAAGCTTAGACAAATCGCGTGACCTTTTAAGAAGAAAGCTTGAGAAATGAAAAGCTGTAAAGTTCTCTAACACATTTGAAAAAGCGACTGAATTCTGCTATATTGAAGAACTCGGCACATTGCATGTCAAAAGAAAACTAATATTCAAAAGCCTTAATAATGGCAACTCAAAAAGAAATTTCATTTCTGTTAGATTTAGAAAGATCATGGAATTATAGTATTTCTTGCTTTCAAACTGTTAGGGTTTCGGCCAAAAATTAGAGGTAGTATGCTGGACAGGATGTACTGCACTTAAACCGTAACGTATAATAGCAAGTCGGTGAAAGATTACAACAACCTGACCTCATTCAGCAATGCTATCAACCCGGCAAAAAAGAAGATGAGGACGAAGAAGTGGCATGGATAAATTGTGCTGAGGATTACGGATGCTCATCGGAATGTATTCGGGTAAGTACCAGTGGCCCAACTTCCGGTGGCACTTCATTACCTTTATTTATGCTGCCAAACTTTGAACATTCAGGTATTAGGCAGTCGATTTCGAGTGAAGTGTTACGGTAAATCTGACTGCGAAACTCTGGCTCGAATACATGACGGAGGTGCCAATGGTTGCCGTGAACAGGTAAACAAATTAGCATCGCAGAAGAAATCAAGGACGTTCCTGAGAACCGCATATAAATCAGTATCACTAAAGGGGAAGCAAAAAAGATCCGTCACTTTGCCCATGGTTGCAGAAAAATGTGGTGGTGACAACACCATTGTTTTTTTTTGTGCACATGGGTGGCCCCGTTGATGAAGTTCCGCAGCCAGCAATCCATTTCCTGCTTATGTTCTTACAAGGGAAGGATACCAGGTCGAAGTGGCCATTTGTAACGAGACATACACCACTAGATGTGTTTTTGGACGCTTATCTCAAATCTGCTCTCCAAATCTGCGAAACGACTCTTTGAACGTAGTTATGAAGCGAGATAGTGCAGTGGCAGCGGTGCGGCTCAACGAACGAGAGGTCGTGAGTTCGAGTTCTTGGCGAGTTCTCACTTTTGCTTTTCTTGTGAACGTTGTTTAAGGGACTCTTATCCTATGCTAAGTTATCAGCGATTGCCTATAGCACAAGTAAACAGAGCTGGCGAAGAGCTTCGAGCACTGTGCGCGTCATTTGCAAGTGACCGCCTCTGACACCCGTAGCGCACGCGTAAGGCAATTTCGTGCCAAGCAGATGCGATATTCGTGTTCAGCGCGTCGAAACACCCCTTTCAACAACATTTGGTCCAAATCTAAAATTTTGACCTGAAGTCGAAAATGTGGGCAGTCATCTATCCATCAACCCACTGTCAGAGCCTGATCGTGGGATTGAATTAAACTTTCAGTCATTATTGTGAAAGAGATATAGTTGCCTGCTCTACTTGCTCGTGCCATCCGAAGATTAATATGATATTTTTTCATGTACACGCTCGCTGCCCAGGAGGAGCAGGAGGGTAGTGGCTGGGGCTAGGGATAACACCTACGACTCATTGTAGACCGAGTTTCGAAATTGGGTCCAAATGTCAGCTTTCTAGAATTAAGCCTTCAAAGATAGTTTGGTCCGTTGAGCAAGCAACTCCCATTTGTTTAGCCCATCGTCGGATATACGTCACTTCCGTGGCGTAGAAACACCTCGGCAAGGGTCGAAACATTACGAAAAAGTGGAATGCGTTAAACAAACCCCTCTAAACATGCGTTAGCTTTGGATGCAGTGAAAATTTCAACACTGAATAATTTTTTATATTTAAATTAGACCTAATTACAAAAAGCAAAAAACCCATGCCCCAGCAAGATCCCATCCCATGTCTCGCACACCTGGAACGCGCCCACACACGAATAGGGTTCAACCCGCCGCTGGAAGCTGAGCTCTGCCGGAGTCCTCTTACAGTGGGCTTTCATTCGAAACACAACCTCCGTAACACTTTTCAGAGAATCGTTTCGCAAATTTGGAGAGTGGATTCGAGATCAGCGTCCGAAAACACATCTCTGAGTATAGGTTTCATTACGGATGGCCACTTCGACTTGGTATCCTTCCCTTGTGTAACAGATTCTCCCCATATGCAAAAGCGGGCCCCTCCTTCGTTGCCCTCATCCTCTTCAGAAGATGACGTCATCAGCCATCGTCGTCGAGCTTGAGGAGACCTACCGTATACCGTAGCAGTTCCAGCCTGGAGCTGCTACACAATTCTTAAATTGTGTCAACTCGTGTGTAACTTTCCAGACATAGTATCTCTGGCTGCGCGAAGACCCCTTTCCACAGCGTTCAGATGTGAATCGGCCCACGTTCCTCGGAGACCTTGGGGAGTCGGACTGTCACCATTGGCCCGGTTCTCGCGTGAAGAATATCTACTGAATGTCGAACGGAATCGAAGCTGTCATGAGTTTTCTGAGGATTTAGAAGTGTGCGCTCCGATTACCCATTTGGGATCATCCGTTCGAATATTGCGGAAACGGCCCTTTCCTTTTGGCCCCCCCGCATGTTTTCACTTCGGGCCGATTCCAAAAGTGGTGAGTGGTGCAATGAGCAGATTGGAGCAGCGTATTTCGTGCAACGTCCGTGGATCAAATCTGAAATCATGCGGCTGGCCCGTGTGAGTCATTGTGTGGACCAATTTGCATTCAAGTGCCAGTACGACAACGGTAGAAGTAAGAACGCGTGGCGCATTAAAAGGGATTGATCAACGCTGAACTGATTCAATTCTCTACCCGTTCGTACACACATAACCTGATTTCAACCCAGAAGTGCTCTATACGTAAGACGAATAGATGAAATAGCTATTCTTAGAAGAGGTTCAAAGAACGACCACATTCTATAAAAGCCTCTTGTGAAAGTGCACGCCCCCGGAGACCATCAAAAACATTACGAGAATAGAGCAGGCTGACGTACTTTGCAAAATTAGTTTAGAGTTAAAAAGTGTTAAATCAACGATGAGCTTCGTAAGCCCTTCATTTGTCACTAAACGAGGCCTTCTTTTGAATCCACCCCACTGCGCTGAACGCGACATGAACCTGACTGACAGGAGCAATTTTTCCTGTGAATAGCCGAACTGTACCATCGCATATAAATTGATTTCATATCTGTATGAAAAGAAACTGCAAAAATAGCACATAATTTTGGAGGAATATAAAAAATAACAAGGAATTGGTGCCTTTTACAGATTAAGAAAGCTGTACTGTAACAAATTTTCTTTATACTGGCGAGTTTCCGAAATAATGAGGAGTTTTCAGCGCCAAACCTTCCTGGTTCTGAAGCGCACGCCGTAATCGTGGAAACCCAACCTCTAAATAACCACTGATACACCTAGAAGAACCTTATTGTTGTGCTTGGAGTCAGGGGCAACCGTCGCGTTCACATTTCTCCGAAAATTTTACGAGCCCCTCCCTTGAGTTGGTCTCGATACGCCGTCCCTCCCATATCACCATCAGCCTTAGGAGGCTCCCCTAACACGGCTCTCCACCTTCTCTCTCTCCCCTCCCCACTCCGACCACCACCCACCACCATGGCTATTTGAAGTCTTTGATTCTGAGACCAGTTGACACAG